GCTGGGCCTGCCTGAGCATAGCTCACACAGTGGTCATCCTCCTCCTCTGCCGGTCACAGAGCCATGTGAGAATGGAAGCAAAGGAACACAGTATCCATACACTGACTTAAAGGGGGCGTGTATAAGGTTATTTCTGAAGGTCAAGGTCCTCCATGGCTCATAAGAGAACAGGTGCTTGTAGATGGCAGGCTGCAGGCACCCTGGACTTGTGGGCTGGGGCCTCTGCATCTTATTTTCTAGCACATGCCCCATCCCCTTCAGGTGTCCAGACTTCTTTGGGTGGTTGTGGCAACAGGCCTATATAATAAAAGCCTAATATGCTAAGTGTCTGACTGTTTGACCAATCGCTCTGACACACACTGACCACCGGTGGGCAGACGCTCCAACCAGTAGGTTAGCTTGCTGTTGAGGTCTGGCAGATAGGGACTTGGTGAGATAGGCTAGACATGCCTTGGAGCCCTCGATGGTGCGCCTGTGAGGTCCCTCGGCCTGGTCTGTGCCCTCTCAATCTGGGACTCCTTGGGAATGTCAGAGAACTGGTTTTGGTCTGATCCCCCACAGCCCAGGCAGAGGGGGGACCCCACAGGTGCAATGATTGTGCATCAGGCCTCTAGTATGTTATAATCACAAACATTTGGATTCAATCAATTGTAGTGTGCCCTTCTGATCTAATGTGGGGCCTCCCCCGATAGATAACTGTCGTCTTCCCTCTCATTCTCCTCTGCGTGGCACCACCCACCCTGTTTTCATTTTGGTGGAAGATCTGAGAAACCATGCTGCCTAGCTCCGGCCCTGGCAGAGGGTTGCCTGCAGGAAGAAGGGGCTGCCACCTAGAGCCAGAGCCACTCTCACTGCCAGCGGCTCTGATGTGGCCTGTCCCATACAATCCAGAGAACTGCCCCCCCCCCCCCACCTCCTCCACCAGAAGGAAAGGCAAAGAGCTGGGGAAGCTGGGGGAGAGGGAAGAGGATCTGGTACATAGCGGCCAGTGGAAGTGAGCACTCCCCTCTTCCTTTCTGCCAGCACCTAACCAGTTTGTTCCTTGTGCTGCTGCGGTTGTAGTTCTGGGGTGTGAGGTGTGTTGGCTGAGGCCTTGTTGTGAGATGAGGTGAGAGCGAGAACAAAGTGGTCATTACAGGCCATTCATGTTGACAGCATTTATACCTGTGTTTGCTGCAAGCAACAGCGGCGGCTAATTTGCAAGGCTGCTTTGTGGGCTGCGTGTGATCAATGTTGCCTGTGTTAATGTTTCAGTAAGCTATTGATTTCTGCAGCAGCTTTTGTTCCCTGAATTTATGGGCCGCGGGTCTCCGCACAACACACTACGCATGTTTGATTAAAGTTCAATTGACTTCATTCCTGATGAGGTTCGAGCTGCCCCGCTCCCTGTTTGTAGAACCACAGCCTTCCCTGGCGCGCCCTTTGTTTGTACTCCAGGCCCAGCCACCCATGCAGTCCCCAATATGCTGCTTAATCCTCCTGGATTTGCTCCATTCCAGTGTTTAATCCCTCCGCAGACATTACAGTGGGTGAGAGGCAGCTCACAAAACCTGGTCCGGACTTTTGTTTATGTATTTATTTTTGGATCAACTTTTTATATATCATAAGGATGTACTCGCTTTAAGTGCACAGCTCAGTGAGTTTTGACAATGTGTAAATCCATGTAAACACCACAGTTGGTTTATAGAATGTTCCCATCGCCCCAAAAGGTTTCCTGGTGGCCTTCCATAAGCACTTTGCCTCCTCTCTAGACTCCAGGCAGCCACTGACTTCCTTCTGTGATCACAGCTTGCCCTTTTTAGGATGGAATTACATATGTATGGGCCCTTTTGTGCATGGCCGCTGTCATTCAGCACGGTGCTTTTCAGACTGATCCACGTTGTGTGTCAGGGGTTTGTTCCTCTTTGCTGCCAAGTGGTGTGCCAGTGGGCGGGATTCCGCAGTGTCACTCATTCTCCGGGGGTGGGGTGGCATCTGGGCTGTTTCTGTGAACATTCGTGTACAAGTCCCGTATGAGCACATGTTATTTCTTTTGGATGAATACCCAGGAGTGGAATAATTGCCGGGTCATGTGGTAGATGTTTGTTTAGCTTTCTAAGAGTTGCCAAACAGCTTTACAAAGTGGTTTGGCCATGTAACATTTCTAGGATATGACTTCCCCCATCTTCCCTCAAGGTTGACATTTATGTTTTCATTTTCTCATTAATTGGTTTTAGACTTGCAGGGGAGGGCGTCCTTCTGGCTTGGTCAGTTTGATCCTTGTCCCTCCGATGATGGAATCCCTTCTGCTCATGTTCTTCTTAAAGAGCTGTTACTTAAAAGGTGGCCAAAAGTTGATGTTTATTTCAACGCTGGTTTTTCCCCACACCCTCATTTTCTCACGGCCAGAGGAGGAGGACATGGTGCGTCACTAAAGGTTGGAAGTTGTGAACTGAGCTTTCCTGAGCCTTTTTCTGTCTGGGGTCCAGCATCAGGCCAGCCACAGAGCCTTGCTGAACTCTGGCTCTCCCTCTTTTAACGTGCACATTATGCTGTCTCATTTATTTTTTTAAATATGTTTTATTGATTTTTTTTTTTTTTTTTTTTTTTTTTACAGAGAGGAAGGGAGAGGGACAGAAAGAAACATCTAAGAGAGAAACATCGATCAGCTGCCTACTGCACACCCCCTACTGGGAATGTGCCTGTAGCTAAGATGCATGCCCTTGACTGGAATCGAACCTGGGACCCTTTAGTCCGCAGGCCGACACTCTGTCCAATGAGCCAAACCAGTTAGGGCTATGCCATCTTTTAAGCCATTTATTTTTTCAAAACATTCATTCTTGAGAAATAGAAGTAATCCCTGGTCACCACGTGGGGCAGTATTGCATACTAGACCACTGCTGTGCACCAGTGTCAGGGTGGCTGCTTCTTAACAGCCTGTTTGACAGAGACCCTGGTGGCACCCCTCCACCTGATTTTCTCTCCCATTTTTAATTCCTTCCGTCTCCTAGAGCTTCACACTTCCTCTCAGAGTCCAGACCCCTAACCCCCTGGCCCTAGGGGGAGGCGGAAGGACCACCTTGAGTCTCCCCATTCTTCCCTCCCCTCAGGCTCGGGCTCTGGTTTTCTGCGCCGGCTGCCCTTCCGAGCTGATGAGCACGCCACTCCGGCAGCTGATGTGAAGAGTGACAGTCAGCTGCCTTGGCTTCTGTTCTGTGTCTTTTCATAAGAAAACCTGAGTCAGATCAGTTTCCTGTCGGTACGTGTCTTACTCTCCTAGTGGATTTATGAGTCTGTTCCCTCCAACCAGCCCACACGAAGATCAATGTAGATACTGGCATTCCAGGTGGGAAGGCAGGAGCCACAAGGCTCTGGTATCATGGCCCTAGGGCTCCGGATGCTCAGTCACCACAGGGACAATCAGCCTGCGTTTGTGGAATAGCATGACAGACAGACAGATCGGAAATTCAAGCACAGTTACCTTCTCATGGAACCAAAGGGGCTGGCTCCTGGTCTTCATTGCCTTGGGTCAGACTTCATTGCTAAATATGGGCAGTCACGGGCAGTGCTGAGTGGTATTTGGAAAGAAGCACACCCACACACTCCGAGAGAGACGTGCTGTGTGCCTGTGCTGACCTCTGAGGCTCTGGTGACACCGGGGTCCTCAGGAAGTGCCCAGGCACGGGCTCCGGCTCCTGAGAGTGAGTGCTGAGCACATTCGCCTGCTTTACAGAAGCCGTTTTCCCACCCAAAGTCTGCCCGCTTCCCTGCCAGCTACTGCCGTCGTGTTTCCGTCTTCTGGGGTGTTGTTAATGAAGCCTCGTCCTGTAGGCGCCTATCGCGTGCGTGCACAGGTTACATGCTTCCACGCTGCTCTGTCTTTTCAGTCCTCCCAGCGCCGATCCAGCTCTCAGCTCCGGAGGACAGACTTCTCTTTCTCGGCTCCTCCATTCACAGGCAGAAGCCTTCAGTGGCCGCACTGTGCTCGGGTGACGCCCCCACGGCTATGTCCCCCAGGGTGTGACGTCCTAGGATACCTTGTCTGCTGTGTTAATTGACTTTGTACAACATTTAGGTATTTAATTAGAGGAAATCAATGTGATCTTGGCTCTCTCACTGCCTTCAGTGGTTGTGTGGGTTTTGTGTGTGTGTGTGTGTGTTTTAAGTTAAAGGTATTTTATCTTGGGATTTTTTTTAAAGAAATCGGTCCTTTGTTAGCGGAATGCCATTCACCTGTCTGTGTGGATGGGCCTGCTGGCCCTGGGGTTGGAGGGCCAAAGTGCTGTGTTTTTAGAAGATGCCTGGGCTCTTTCTGCTGGGCCGGGAAACAGCAGCTTTCTTCGCCTTGAAGACTGACCTTGTGGCATGTGGCGTTGCGTCTGCACAACAGCTCCCCTGTGTCTGTCCTCCCTTAGTCTGGCTTTGTCAAGCCCCAGTCATTGCCTCTCGGACTCTGCCAGCTCCTCCCAGTGTGAGCGCCTAGATTAGAGTGAGGGCTGGAGAGCAGTTTTGGGTTTAGGGTTTCTGTTCTTCCTGACCTCCCACCTGGCCCGAGGGCCCACCATCGCAGTTGTATCCTTGATTGTTTCTGGAGTCATCTGTCTGCCCAGGTGTTTCCTTATCCCTGTGATTTCCCTGGAAGGCTGTGAATCTCTCTCTCTCACACACACACACACACACACACACACAGTTAGAGGGCAACCATTATTGATGCACCTGAGGGGTTCAGAACAGGTGGCACCTGGCATTTCGTAGGCATCCAGAATCCTTGTCGAGTGAGTGGCTCTTCCTGCCGTCTAGGGAGTCTGCTCTCCTGGGCGGAGGTGACAGGCCCTGTTCGCCCAGCCTTTGGGCACCTCAGCCCCACTGCTGTGAGCCAGCCTCTGTCAGCTCCAGGAGCAAACTGTTCCTGGTTCGCGTCTCGAGCAGAGATAGCTGTCAGGGCCCAGCTTCTCCCAGCAGAGGGGGCGGGAACGCCAGGTCCCTGCGTCGCCGCCCTCCCAGCAGCCCTCTCTCTGCAGGGGGAGCTGATCACCTTCTATTACTACTGGAAGAAGACCCCCGAGGCAGCCAGCTCCCGGGCCCACCGCCGCCACCGCAGGCAGGCCGTGTTCAGGAGGATCAAGACCCGCACTGCGTCCACACCTGTCAACACACCTTCCAGACCCCCCTCCAGTGAATTCTGTAAGTGGACTTTTCACACGCTGTGTCCCACTCTGGGTCTGCACGCACAGGCGTCCCGTCCCCGTGCGGCTGCAGCTGAGGACCTGGGAGCCGTGTGCACACGTGCATGTGTGTTCTGGCACACAACCTGGCCTGAGCGTCACTCAGGATGTGGTAGAGCCTTTTACAGATTACTCGCCATTTAAATGTTTCTAGTAAACGCCGCATCGTTTTAATTTCTTCCAAAAGCAAGTCTTGGCCGTGGCCTGAGGGCTGTGGCAGCTTCAGGAGGTTGCTTCGCAGACGGTGTGCCCGTGAGTGCTCACTGCACTGGGTTGTGGTGGCGTCAGAGCAGGCTGACACTCGTTCTTCTCCTCCTGCACACCACACTCTTCCTCTTGGCCCAGGGCGCCGTGCGGTATGACGGTGAAGCCCACACCGCTAACCCTGACCGCTAGATCAGCAGTAGAGAGCGTCCAGGCACAGGCCTCCAGGGGTCACTGAAGTTGCACATGCAAACAAGAAGCCCCCGGTCACCCTGGGCTGGCGGGTGGCGGGTGGCACTGGCCAGAGGCAGCTCCTCAGTCTGCGTGTGTCAGGAAGGCACCACGGGGCTCTTCCCCCTGATCAGACTCAGCGGTTGTGGGTGCCTGCCACCCAGGCTTCAGGTGCGACACCAGCCCCCAGCAATCCTGCAGGGCAGGCGCTGGGTACGCCCCTCACACGCAGTACTTGGTCCTGATGACTGGCTCTGAGAAACCCAGAGGGTCCTGCCTCAGCCTGCTGGGCGCTCGGCCTGTGGCTCAGAGCCTGGGCAGGCCGAGTGTGACGGTCTCCAACCCTCGCCCTGTTGTGTGCCTGCCATGCCCAGTGGACCTGAGCTCTGCCAGTGAGGACGACTTTGACAGTGAGGACAGCGAGCAGGAGCTGAAGGGGTACGCCTGCCGCCATTGCTTCAGCACCAGTGAGTGGGGCTTCGACATTGGCCTTGGGTTGTGTTTCAGGGCTACCCCCTGCCCCCGTGAAGTCAGTACAGAATGCTGGTCAGTGGGTATGGTTGGGGTCAGGGCAACTATTGTCACTCCTCCTGGGTACCCCAACATTAGGGGGAGGGTTCCTGAAGGGCTCTCGTCTGGGAGAGCAGGCGGCCCCGCACCTGAGCGGAGTGCCGGGGTCTGCCGAGCCCAGCACTGCGCGGTCGTCATGGCACCGGGCTGGCTGAGCCCACAGACCCTGGTGTTTGAGGCTCGGCCCCTCCCGCCTCCCCCGCAGCCTCCAAAGACTGGCACCACGGCGGCCGGGAGAACATCCTGCTCTGCACCGACTGCCGCATCCACTTCAAGAAGTACGGCGAGCTCCCGCCCATCGAGAAGCCCGTGGACCCGCCACCCTTCATGTTCAAGCCCGTCAGAGAGGAGGACGATGGGCTCAGCGGGAAGCATAGCATGAGGACGCGGCGGAGTCGAGGCTCGGTGAGTCCGGGCGCGGCTGCCTAGGAAGCGGTGTGCCCGGGGGCCCAGCTTTCCCGAGGGGCTGGGAGTGCCCCTTCCTCCCCCTCTCCTCCTTGGGGAGTCGGTGTGGCCATGGGTCTCCGGCCGGTCTCCTCTAGGGGGCATAGCTCTGCTATTTGGAACTTGCTGGCTTTTAAAAAAAACATTTTTTTATTAATGTTTGATCCAGTTTCGGGAACATTGAGGTACATGTTTCTACTCACAGCAGAGCCTCCTCCTTCCACAAAGAGACTGTTGTCCGGGTTGGAAATGTAGCGGCACCTCTGAGAGCCAGGGTTTTCCCAGGCCGGGCCTTTTAGGAAGCGGGTGGCACCTCCACCTTCCCCTGAGCCACGCTTTCCGACAGCTCGTGTCTCTGGGTCACCCCTCCTGGCGGATGGGAGCGGCAGGTGCTTGTTGGGTTGGGCTGGGCAGGTTCATGGAATAAGCACAGGCGCGGTACGGAGAGCTGGCTCCGTATAACTGTCCTTCGGAGGGCGTGGCGTAGTGGACTGTCCCCACTGACCGAGGCCCTCAGCCATCCTCCTCCTCCCAGCGCACATCCTGCAGGAGGCCCCGGAGGCGAGGGCCTCGGGTTGAAGCCGAGAATTGCTCTTCCCCTGAGCCCACCCACTCGCCCTCCTCCCTTCGCTCCATGTGGACGCTGTCCATGAGGGACAGCCACATGCCTGTTGGCCAGGGGCTGGCGTTTGGCATGGGACCAGCAGTGGGGTCTGTTCTCGGTGCCCCTGCGGGTGTGCTGGCCCAGTCTCACAGCCTCGGGTTTGGGGGGCAGATGTCTACACTGCGCAGCGGACGGAAGAAGCAGCCAGCCAGCCCCGATGGTCGCGCCTCGCCCACCAATGAAGACATCCGCTCCAGTGGCCGCAACTCCCCCAGCGCGGCCAGCACCTCCAGCAACGACAGCAAAGCGGAGACGGTGAAGAAGCTGGCCAAGGTACGGCGTGGCCACCTGGCCGCTCAGCTCCCTCCGACCCGGGCCGCAGCTCACCATGGAGCCTCCAGGACAGCACGGCCCTGCTGGGCGGCAGCCTGGGCTGGAGCGGGGGTCCAGCTCCGCTCCAGCACTCACCTTCGGGTGCTCCCAAGGCCTCCGGGCGGGTGATTGGAGAGGCCTGTTCTTGCCTGGCTCTGCTCTCCTCTTCCAGAACTTTCTTCTGAGATAGAGCTCGACTGGGGCGGGGTGTTAGGTCTGGACCGAGGCTGGTGGGACCCTCTGCTGACCCTCCTGTGCCTCTCCCGCTGCAGAAGGTGAAGGAGGGAGCCTCGTCACCCCTGAAGAGCACCAAGCGCCAGCGGGAGAAAGTGGCTTCGGACACAGAGGAGGCCGAGCGGACCAGCTCCAAGAAGACCAAAACCCAGGTGGGCCCCAGCTGGCGGCTAGTCTCCCCGGGGTGGCCTGCTGGTCCTCAGGCCAAGCTTGCTGCCTGCTGTGCCTGTGCCAGGCTCTGGCCACGCAGGGCAGACTAGAGCGCCCTCCTCGCCTCTCTCCTCAGGAGATCAGCCGGCCCAACTCGCCGTCCGAAGGCGAGGGAGAGAGCTCTGACAGCCGCAGTGTCAACGATGAGGGCAGCAGCGACCCCAAAGACATCGACCAGGACAATCGTAGCACGTCCCCCAGCATCCCCAGCCCCCAGGACAATGAGAGCGACTCGGACTCCTCTGCGCAGCAGCAGACCCTGCAGGCCCAGCCCCCAGCCCTGCAGGCGCCCGGCGGAGCTGCCCCAGCTCCCGCAGCCCCCCCAGGAGCTCCCCAGCTCCCCACACCGGGGCCCACACCCTCTGCTGTTCCTCCACAGGGCTCCCCCTCAGCCTCCCAGCCCTCCAGCCAGGCTCCACCCGGTGCTGCTTCCCATGCCCATATCCAGCAGGCACCTGCTCTGCACCCACAGCGGCTGCCCTCCCCGCACCCCCCGCTGCAGCCTCTGACCGTGCCCGCTGGCCAGACCTCCGCCCCGCCTCACCCCCAGCCCCCCCTGCACAGCCAGGGCCCACCCGGCCCCCACAGCCTGCAGGCCGGGCCCCTCCTGCAGCACCCAGGCCCCCCTCAGCCCTTCGGCCTCCCGTCCCAGGCCTCCCAGGCAGCAGCTCACCCCCACCCCTCCCTGCAGCCGCCGGCTTCTCAGTCAGTCCTGCAGCCCCAGCAGCCCCCAAGGGAGCAGCCCCTGCCGCCCGCGCCCTTGGCCATGCCTCACATCAAGCCCCCACCCACGACGCCCATCCCCCAGCTGCCAGCACCACAGGCCCACAAGCACCCCCCTCACCTCTCAGGGCCCTCCCCCTTCTCCATGAATGCCAACCTCCCGCCCCCTCCAGCCCTGAAGCCCCTGAGCTCCCTGTCGACACACCACCCCCCTTCGGCACACCCCCCGCCGCTGCAGCTCATGCCTCAGAGCCAGCCTCTGCCCTCCTCCCCCGCCCAGCCTCCTGTGCTGACCCAGAGCCAGAGCCTGCCCGCTGCTGCTGCCGCCCACCCCCCTGCAGGCCTCCATCAAGCGCCCCCGCAGCCCTCATTCGCTCAGCACCCCTTTGTCCCCGGAGGCCCTCCTCCCATCACCCCTCCGTCCTGCCCCTCCACTTCCACTCCACTCGCGGGACCTGGCCCATCGGCCCAGCCGCCCTGCTCTGCTGCCGTCTCTTCCGGAGGCAGCACGCCTGTGGGGGCAGCCTGCCCGCTGCCCGCTGTCCAGATCAAGGAAGAGGCTCTGGACGAAGCCGAGGAGCCCGAGAGCCCCCCTCCACCGCCGAGGAGCCCGTCCCCCGAGCCCACTGTGGTGGACACGCCCAGCCACGCCAGCCAGTCAGCCAGGTATGGTCTCGGGGAGCTGGGCGGCCCTGGGCAGGCCTCGCCCTGGGCAGGCCCCGATGGCAGCCGTGGCCTTTTCAGGTTCTACAAACACCTGGACCGGGGCTACAACTCGTGTGCACGGGCAGACCTGTATTTCATGCCTCTGGCGGGCTCCAAGCTGGCCAAGAAGCGGGAGGAGGCCATCGAGAAGGCCAAACGGGAGGCCGAGCAGAAAGCCCGCGAGGAGCGGGAGCGGGAGAAGGAGAAGGAGAAGGAGCGCGAGCGGGAGCGGGAGCGCGAGCGGGAGGCTGAGCGAGCGGCCGTGAGTGCTCAGCCCGGCGGCCGGGTGGGCGGGCGGGCGCAGGGAGGGCACTGAGACTGGGCACTGCATGGGAGGGTCCACAGGGGAGCTACGGCACAGAGGAGGCCATCACGGGGGGCCGGGCCAGATCCTGTCACAGGCCGTGCCTGAGGCCGCTGGGTGGTGGGGTGGAGGGACCGAGGTCAGGGCAGGGTGGCCACCGGGCAGAGCTCACCTCCCAAGGACACTAGGCAACTGGTCTCCCCCACCCGCCTTGTCCTCAGCAGAAGGCGTCCAGCTCGGCACACGAAGGCCGCCTCAGCGACCCCCAGCTCGGTGGTCCCAGCCACATGCGGCCATCCTTCGAGCCGCCGCCAACCACCATTGCCGCTGTGCCCCCGTACATCGGGCCGGACACCCCTGCCCTCCGGACTCTGAGCGAGTACGCCCGGCCCCACGTCATGTCGCCCACCAACCGCAACCACCCCTTCTACATGCCCCTCAACCCCACTGACCCGCTGCTGGCCTACCACATGCCCGGCCTCTACAACGTGGACCCCACCATCCGCGAGCGGGAGCTGCGGGAGCGGGAGCTGCGGGAGCGGGAGATCCGGGAGCGGGAGCTGCGGGAGCGGATGAAGCCGGGCTTCGAGGTGAAGCCCCCCGAGCTGGACCCCCTGCACCCGGCCACCAACCCCATGGAGCACTTCGCCCGGCACAGCGCCCTCACCATTCCCCCCACTGCGGGCCCCCACCCTTTTGCCTCATTCCACCCGGGCCTGAACCCCCTGGAGAGGGAGAGACTGGCCCTGGCGGGCCCCCAGCTGCGGCCCGAGATGAGCTACCCCGACAGACTGGCGGCCGAGCGCATTCACGCCGAGCGGATGGCATCGCTGACCAGCGACCCTCTGGCCCGGCTGCAGATGTTCAACGTGACCCCCCACCATCACCAGCACTCACACATCCACTCGCACCTCCACCTCCACCAGCAGGACCCCCTGCACCAAGGTGGGTGCCGGGCTGCCGAGAGGGCACTGTGGGTGGCTCCCGGGGGGAACCCCGGAAAGGCAGGCTGTCGGTGGTTACGGAGGGAGAACCTGAGAAGCACCTTCCTGCCCTCTTCGGCTCCGTCACCAGCCAGGGCTGCCCAGCCCAGCTCACTCTGGCAGTGAGTGCCTGCCTGGCCAGCTTGGGGTGCAGGCCGGTTTGAGGCAGAGGGGCACAGCTGGGGCCCTGTGCCCTCCGAAGCTCTGCAGACCAGGCAGATGGGGGAGGGGTGCCCTGACCCTGCTCTGGAGCGGGCGGTGTGCCTGCTCCCTGGGGCCAGGGCTGCAGTGGAGGGACGTCCTCGTGGGCTGACCTCCGTGCCAGGGAGCAGGGCGGCTGATAGAGCAGGACCCAGGGGGGGAGGGCTGCGCCTGCTTCCTCTCCGTGTTCCCAGCCCTGACAGATGGGCCCGGGGAAGCCCAGGAGCTGTCACATTTGCCCTGTGGCCCTGACACCTGGAAGTGTCAGGCCACCCAGCGTGGGCCTTTTAGCCCAGTGGAACCAGCAGACGGCCTGGCGCTGTGGGACGGGAGGCAGTCGTACAGTCGTTGGCCAGTGTTTGCTGGGCACTGTGGCGAGCCAGGCGCAGGGGTAGGTGCTGGCCAGGCCCGTCCACGCCCACTGTCCCAGGCCGGGAGGCCTCTGGACGGACGAACCTGGCTGTGGGAGGTGTCGGTGTCCTGGAGAAGAGTGAGCCAGGGAGAGAGAACAGGCCGGTGGGCGGTGCTGCCATTATAAAAAGGAAGCGGGTAGGGGAGGCATTGGAGAGGGCATCTCTAGGCAGAAGGAGAACTTGAGGGAGCCAGCGAGGACCTGCAGAAAGGCGAGCCCACAGCGCAGAGCCCGCCCCTGCCCACAGCAGTCTGCTGGCGCCTTCGGCCTCGGTACAGGCAGCCTGGACGAGGGTGCTGGCGAGGGCGGTCAGCCAGGCGGCTCTGCTGGTCCGGTCCTCAGCAGAACGGATTGGGGATGGGACTGTGGGGGTGCTCACAGTCCGCTCTGCACTTGCACTTCACTTTCTGGAGCTCAACTATAGGCATGTGGGGAGACCGGAGGATGGTCCCTCTGGGTCAAGGTCACTGGTCCTGGTGGTGAGGAGGACGCCCTGGTTCCAGCCGGGGTAGGGAGCGTCGGAGAGCCCTGCGCCTCTGTCTGGACTTCTGCCCCTTCTTTCAGGTTCAGCAGGCCCCGTGCACCCGCTGGTGGACCCCCTGACTGCTGGCCCTCACCTGGCTCGCTTTCCCTATCCCCCTGGCACCCTCCCCAACCCTCTGCTTGGACAGCCCCCCCATGAGCACGAGATGCTTCGTCACCCCGTTTTTGGTAAGAATGCACCTGGGGAAGGCGGGGCCCAGGGAGGAGCTGGTTAGTGGTCTGGCCCCAGGGCCCGGTCATTCCGTCCCCTCAGGGGGGGGGGGGCTGCATGTGTGTAACAGGAACCCAGATGGAAACAGTGGGAATGAAGGAATAACAGAGGCTCCGCGTTTAAATCTGCAGCTTAGGAAGGCGGCCTCTCTGAGAAGCAGCACTGGGCTGAGGCCTACTCTGTGGGGAGGAAGGAGGGGCGGCACTCGGGCACCCCTCCCCAGGGACCTCCCGGTCTCCTTGCAGCCTCAGCCTTGTCTTGGTCCTCCCCCTGGACTGTCTGCTCAGGAGACTTTGTTTGGCAGGCACCCCCTACCCCCGAGACCTGCCTGGGGCCATCCCACCCCCCATGTCAGCTGCCCACCAGCTGCAGGCCATGCACGCCCAGTCGGCCGAGCTGCAGAGACTGGCCATGGAGCAGCAGTGGCTGCACGCACACCCCCACATGCATGGCAGCCACCTACCAAGTCAGGAAGATTATTACAGGTAAGGGGGGAGGCCCTGAGGGAGGGGCAGGCTGGCCGGGCTCCCACCTACCCCCTGCGGGCCACTGCCCCAGCCTGAGGGCCGCCCCTCCTGGCTGATCCCACGGCGCTCCTCCCCCGGCTACATGGGGTCCTGTCCGTGGCCCTGAAGGGGACCCCCGGAGAGCCTTCTTGGAGGTGGGGCGGGCTGGCCTCCCGGGAGCCCCACTGGTGCTGAAGGTGCTCTCCTCCGCTTCTCTTCCAGCCGGCTGAAGAAGGAAGGCGACAAGCAGCTGTAGGTTGTTTGTTGCTCACTGGCTGCGGAAGCCCCAGGTCCTGGGGGGGGAACCGGGACTTTCTACGTGCGATAGGAGCTGCAAAAGCGAAGGAATATCTTCTAAAGATGTCTATATATTTAAAGCCCACACCTGACATGTATCCGCATATAGTGTGTGTTAGTAGAGAGGATTCCCTGCGGCTGGTTCGGGTCTCCCTGCATGACAGCCCCCAGAAGCCTAGTGAGTCCTGGACCGGACTGAGCATTCAGAAACTACCCAGCGATCTTGGGGTTCGGCTTTCGTCTCCTTCCCTTCCTCGACTTCTCAGTAGGTGCTAGAACCCAGTCACACCCTCACTGTGCGTGCAGACACACTCAGTCACGTGTGCCAAAACCCGCGGGGTTGCAGATAGAGGCGGCATCTGAGTTTGGAATCCAAGAGCTATAATTTTTGAAGAATCTTTTATTTTACTACATTGTTGGGAATCTTCATAATTTGAGAAAGTCCTGCAGCACGGCTTTTTACATCTGTAAATAATTTTAGACAGCCTTTTTTTTTCCTTCCACAAACTACTGTTCCGATCTATTTTTTCCAGCCATGTCACTAATTGTGAATTCCTATCGGCTATTGACAGAATACAGAGTTGATTTTTTAATAAAAAGTTATATATAATTATCCCTTTAATTAAAGGGAACAGATGGGCGTTACTAATTACAAATGGGCAAAAGCTTGGGACTGGGTCCGGTCGCAGCTGTGAGCATCCAGGGCTTTGCAGGGACGATGTTACAAATGGCTTTTGTTTCGCTGCTGTGGTTTCCACTTCTGTCTGTCCCTGGCTTGTGCGTGGCCAGCGGTGCCGACACCTGCTGGATGGAGTCTCCTGTCGTTGCACCAGGAGCGCAGGGGTTAAATGTCCACCGTCCTGTGTCTGCAGAGAGAAAGCACATGTTTCCGTGTGTGCGGTTGCAGATCCGACAGGTTTCTGGGCGCACATGTCTGATTGTTCTGTCTGGACTGCCCTTCTCACTCTGACGATGGCATAAGCATTCTCCAAGTGAGTCCCTGTAAGTCACTCGGCACGTGTGTGGCCGCAGGGACCTGTTAGCGATCTGCCCTCCCGTGTGTCCTCAGGCCACAGCCCGGGGAGAGGAGGCCCCGCAGCTGGCGCGGCTGTGGGTGGTGGCCTGTGTGCCAGGAGCATGGTGACCGTGTCAGACTGTGTCCACCCTTCATCCCGCGGTGGGAGCTGGAGTGGCAGCCGCACACGGGAAGGGAGGTGGCACCCTGGCAGGTGCCGCTGGGGGCTCGGGCCGCGCTGCAGAGGCCCCTCGGCTGTCTGCGGGCCGAGGGGGGAGACGGCCGTCTGCACCTGCTCCTGCCGGATGTGTGGCCTCTTCCCTCCGGCTCCCGGGGCTGTTTCTGCCGCTGTGTGTGGTGGCCACGTCCCAGAATTGTCAGACGAGAGGGTGTCTGTGGGTCAGGGGATGTGACATACGTCCAGGACCTGACCCACGTGGGTAGGAAGGGAGCTGGCCCTGGGCCCCAGAAGCCCAGGTGTCAGCGCTGATCTGGGCTCCCGATTCACCCTGCATTGGGCATTGCCCACCCCCAGTAACCCTTTGCTTTCACTGGGACAGATAGAGGATTGTTTTATTTGTTGAAAATGTTTGTAGTTTTTTTCTTTAGTTTTCTTTCATTCCATTTCTGCCTTAAATTTAGCTCCGTGTAGGGGAGACAAGCTCAAATGGACTCTTTGTCATCATGCTGGTGGCTGCGTCGGCAGGGGCGTTGTTCCTGGGGGCCGCCCTTCTGCGGCTCCCGCTGCCCAGCCTCCCGCACCTGCCCCCCTCCTCAGTCAGGCCCCTCCTCTCCTCCCGGCACCCGTTTGTCCAAAGAAGAGGGCGTTTCGTGCTTTGAGTCCGTGTTGAAAGCTGTGGAAGGCGGGTCTGTCGGCCTCGGCCCCCCACCCGCGGGGAAGCACCGGGATTCCTGCAGCCCGGGGCCCGCGCCTGGTCAGCCGCCGCCGGGGCCGGGCCCTCTCGGGTCTTTGAAGCCCGGCCCCCGGGTTTCCTTTGGGTTTTCCTTCCTTTCGTTTGAAGTTGGGTTTTGCTTTTCTGTGTTCTGTATGTATCTCGTTCAGTGTTGTCAAGGTGGCGCTTCAGGTTTCACTACCGCGGCCAGAGCGGGGCGTCCGCGCCGCGTGTCTGTCTGAAGCTAATGTACATAGGAGTAGTTTGCCGTGAGCTAACCGTGTGAGCAGCGTAGACACCAGAGATCGCGACTTCTGTGCTCTCTCCATTCGAGTATTTTGTAATTTTTGGAAATATTTGTGGACATAAATAAAACCAAGCTACACTACAACAGCTGGGTGTCGACCGGCGGCGAGCCCGCGGCCTGTGTCTCATTCCTGGGGGCGGCGGGGCGCTGGCGGTTGGCCCCACCTGGGTGCCCGGGTGGGAAGGACGGAGGGGGCATCTGGTGCCCTCAGCTGTTCACCTTTCAAAGCAGCTTCCGGGAAGATCCATGTGGGCTCTGGGAGGAAGGTGAGTACACTTGTTCTTGGGAGATGCTCCGACCTGCAGAATGGGCCCCAGGGTGGGGTGGCATTGGGACCAAGACGCCCTCTCCCAGGTCCCTGTCTCCCGCCATCACCCCACACTGCTGATGGATGGGCACCCGCCAGGTGTGTGGCCTGTGCACGGCCGCCTCCTCTCGGGTTCCTCCTGCCCTGCCCCTTCCTGCCCCCCTGAGCTGACCTCGGCGTGCATTGCCCTACAGGCTGAGGACACCCCCACTCTGCTGCCCCCCAGCAGCTGGCGCCCCACTCGCACCCGGACCCTGAGGGGGAGCGAAGGAAGGGCAGCCAGCTGTGGGGCCCCGCACTCTGCATCATGGGTGAGGAGGAGGCCACGGAGGGAACGTGGGCAGCAGGGACCCAGGTGCCATCTGGTGAAGCTGGTTTCAGTGGCGGACACTTAATGAGATGCAAATGTGAAAGGAAACAAGGCATGTCTGAACAAGGAGTCCCTGGGAGAAAAGGCCCTGGTCAGCGTGCCATCTTCGTCTCCCAGGCATGGGCTGGCCGTGGGCCCCCCTGCCAGGCACCACCTCTGCCCCTGCTGGTGCCGTTAGCAGCTCGGGCAGGGGCTGCTTTACTCTTGTGGCCTGTGGGGAGCCCTCAGGTGTGGACACCCACGTGGTGAATCAGGAGGAAAATGGAATTGAAGACGCTTCCTAGGCAGCCCTTAGAGGGCTCTCCAAGGTCCCTCCCAGGTCCTCGCCGGCACTTCCAGTCTTGGCCACCGGGTGGCAGTCTGTCCGGTCCAGACACCATCTCGGGCTGCCAGCGCTGGTGACACCTGCGGGATTAGGTCCCCTCTTTCCCCCAGATGCGCCAGGAGGGAGGTGTGGGTGGTATTTTGTAAAGCTGACATTTCCTGGAGGCAGGGGAGCTGGACATAAAAAGGCCCTGGGACAGTCCCGAAGGGTGAGAAGGCAGGGAAGGGCCTGGGGGCTGCAGTGTGGCGGGCAGGACCCAGGGGCGGATGAATGACCAAGAAAGATGGCCTCCTATTCGCCGCTGCATCCTGGCGCCCGGCCCAGTGTTGGGACCTGCAGAGGGGAGGTGGCTGTGACTCTCACGGAGCGGAAGAGCATTTCAGTTGGGGGGGTTCCAAGCATGACGGCCTCAGTGTCACACACACACACCCTCATTCTCACACACACACACCCACCCACCCTCATTCTCTCTCTCTCACACACACACACACACACACACTCATTCTCTCACACACACACACACACACCCTCATTCTCTCTCTCTCTCTCTCTCTCACACACACACACACACACACCCTCATTCTCTCTCTCTCTCTCTCTCACACACACACACACACACACACACCCTCACACCCTCATTCTCACACACACACTAAAAAGCCCTGAGCTGCTGCCCCACGGGCCCTGTGTGCCCCCAACTCAAGACCCTTCATTTCCAAGTCCTCCAGGAGGGGACGCTCACCAGCAGGATGAGGCCACCACATGCACCGTGTGGACCTGCAGACACGCTCAGCGGGCGGCTCTGGCCAGTTCAGGCACATTCCGAGGAAGCACTCCATTCTCAGCCTGTGGCCCGTTGTGAGGGGGGTGTCAGATGTCACCACCCTCGTCCCTGTGCCCCACAGCGTGCCCAGGGTTCGCCGATGCCTCGGAGGAGGGCAGCTGTGGCTCTGCCGTTGGATCCTTCGACAGCGCCATGTCATCCTGGTGCTGGGACGGCCGTGAGCGCCCAGGAGCACGACTGGCTTTCAGGTTTGCTGAGGGGACAGTCATCCATGCCCATGGGTTCGGGTTTGGTTTTAGCCACCCATCCTGCAGAGCCAGGCTCGGCCGCCGGACACTGCTGACGGGAGTGTCAGGTCCCTGATCGGGGTGCAGGTCTGCCGAGGGTGGGGCTGCCACCTTCCTCACGGGGAGGGAAGTGAGTCAGGCAGCGCTCAGCTCACGCAGGGTGAGCCTCAGACCTAGGCACCACCAGCAGCGCTGCCGTCCCACCGTCATCACAGCTTGCTCTTGAGAGAGAGAGAGAGAGAGAGAGAGAGAGAGAGAGAGAGATGCTCTGGGGGGAAGGAAGCAGGTGTGGCTCAGCGAGTCCTAGGCCTCGTGGCAGCTGCCTCTGGTCAGCTGGGAACAGACCTGGGGTCAAGGGCAGCTTTGGGGACTGGCCCCAGGGCCCGACGCTCTGCTCAGTCACTGCCCCAAACAGCAGCCAGCACCTGACTCCGGGCACCTCCTTGGGGAAAAGAGGCTGACAACACCGTTCCCACTTGCACAGGGATCTTTGCTGGTTTAGAAAGTTCCAGGAAGAGGCCCGGGCTGTGGCCAGCCAAGAGCGAGCAGGTAACCCCTGTCTCTCCCATTTATCTGTTCTGCAGCAAAAACAACGGCCCGAGAACCCACACTCAACATTTTCTCTTTTTTTAAAAAACCTTTATTGTATTACATATGTCCTACCTCCCCGTCCCCCCTTAACATTTTCTAGAAAAACCTAAAGCTCTTCCAAGCAATATGAATGAGGGGAGGATGAGTCTGGAGTCCCAGGAAAACATGGGACAACCAGGGGCTCGAAGGAGCTGTGTGCTTTGGAAAGTCACTGAACTTTCTGTGCCACCCACACGTGGAGCAGGAATGATGGGACCTGCTTTGCTTAGTTCATGGTTCATAACCATGAAGGTAAAATGACATGATGTGAAGGCAGGGGGCAAAGACTCATTCCAGCCAGGTGGGCTTCATGGAGGAGGTAGCATTTAGATTGTGGATGAAGCAGAAATGGATGGGCAGAGAAGAGGTGGAAGGGCCTCGCCTGCAGGATAGCACGAGCACAGGCGTGGATTGTGGCTGCCCTGGGTGGCACTGTGGCTGTGTATGAGGCTGGAGCCGTGCAGGGAATGGTGGGCACGGGGGTGGGCAGGGTCCAGGCTGCGTGTGAGGACCTTAGCAATGGCTCCTCGGGTACTGGAGTCGCAGAGGGCGTTGAAGGGGATGAGCTCAGATCTGCAGGATGGACGGTGGGCCACGAGGGTAGGCTGCGGGCAAAGGGGGTGGGCAGAGGTTATGGACCAGCACAAGGGCCACAGAGGAAGGTCCAGACCCAGGAGCCTCACCAAGCCCTCCACTCCTGGGGGGCAGCAGGCAATGGCACAAAGGGAGGCCAGGGTCAAGTCCAAGGGCAGGCATCTGCTTCATCTTGAGGTTCCCACCTGAGTGTTTTGCTGCCAGTGGTCCCTGAACATGCCAAGCAAGTTCCCACCTCAGATCTCCGCTGTCTTCCGCTCTTCACCAGGGCACTGGTGGCACCTCACCAGAGGCCACGCCCTTCTCCCCGGGGATAGCTCACTCCACACCCATCACCAGTTAGGCGCTCTTGTCTTTCTTCCACAGCACCTAACTGCCGTCCTCGGCATAGACCTCGGTGTGCTATGTCTCCTCTCCTCGCATCGGCTGACTGAGGGCAGGCACTTGTTGCTCATAGCTCGATCTCCAGCACATTCTTTGCCTGCCATACCCAGGGAGCTTGTGGATGGGTGGGTGGGAGGAAGGATGAGTGGATGGAGGAATGGAGGGATGGATGGATGGATGGATGGATGGATGGATGGATGGATGGATGGATGGGAAAATGGCTGGATGGGTAGATGGTTGAATATGAGAATGAATGAATGAATGAACAAGGGACCTTTTGACCCCGAAGCATTACTCAGGGATGCAATGTACAATTAGGCCAGGCTCTGTCCACCTCAGCACTATTGACATTTGGGGACGGGTTTCAGCTCTTTGTTGTGGGGGTTGTACTGTGCATTGCAGGATATTTACAGCACCTCGACATTAGCAGCCACCCAAATTGTGATAACCAAAAATATCTCCAGATATTGCCGAAAATCATCTGGAGTGGGCATGAGGGGCCAAAATCTCTGCCAGTTGATAACCATTGAGTTACACCTTAACCTTCAATGATTCTTATTGCAAGAAAATACTATGAACGACGATGTGCCAACAAATTTGGCAACCTGGGTGAAATGGACAAATTCCTAGAAACTTACGATCTTCCAAGACTCCATGGGGAAGAATCAGAAAATCTGAGTAGGCCAATAACAACTAATGAAATTGAAGCAGTAATCAAAATATTCCCAGCAACAGCAAATAAAGTCCTGGTCTAGATGGTTTAACGAGTGTTTTACCTAACATTCAAAGAACACCTATCCTCCCAAACTATTAGAAAAAAATGCAAGAAACTTTAAGTTGTTTTTTTTTTTTACAAGGCCAACATTATCCTAATTTACAAATCAGATAAAGACACTACAAAGAAAATTACAGGCCAAAATCCCTGATGAACTTAGATAAAAATATTAGCAACTTGGGTCCAGCAATAGATCACACACTATGACCAACAGGGATTTATTCTGCAAGATTGATACAATATTCACAAATCAAACATGGTACATTACATAAGCAAAATGAAGGATAAAAATCACATGGTCATATCAACAGACACAGAAAAAGCGTTGACAAAATCCAGCACCCATTTATGATAAACTATCAGCAACGTGGGAATAGAGGGATAATGCCTCAACATTATAAAGGCCATATATGACAAACATAACCAACATAATGGGCAAAAACTAAAAGCATTTCCCTTAAGATCGAGAACAGAACAGGGACATCTGCTTTCACCATTCTGCAACAGAACTGGAAGTCCTGGCCACAGCAATCTGACAAGAAGAAAAAGCAAAGGCACTTAAACTGGAAAGGAGGAAGTAAAACTCATTAGCAGATGAGATTGTACATAGAAAACCCTAAAGACGCCACCAAAAAAAAAAAAAAAAATGCTAGATTTAATGAATGAATTTGGCAAAATAGAGATACAAAATTAATGCCCAGAAAACAATGGCATTTTTATACACCAATAGTAAACTCTCAAAAAGAAACTAATTTGAAAATCCCACTTACCATTGCAATAACAATAAAATAATAATATACTTAGGAATAAAATTAATGAAGGAGGCAAAAGACCTGTACTCAGAAAACTAGAACATTGAAAAAAGAAATGAACAAATAGAAGCATATTCCATGTTCATGGATTGGAAGAATGAACATCATTGAAATGTCCATGCTACCCAAAGCAATCTACAGATTCAATGCAATCCTTATTAAAATTTCACAGATCTAAAATATTTGAAAAATTTATGTGGAACCAAAAAAGAACCCAAATAACCTTAGCGATCTTGAGAAAGAAGAACAAAGTTAGAGGGATCACAATCCTGGATATCAAACTATACTACAAAGCCATTGTTATCAAAACAGCCTGGCATTGGCACAAGAACAAGCATAGAGACCAAATGGATCATGATAGAGACCCCAGAAATTGACCCACACCATTATGGTCAATTAATAGTTGATAAAAGAGGCAAGAGCCTACAGTGGAGTAAAGATCTCTTCAATAAATGGTGTTGGGAAGGTACATACAAAAGGAAAGAAAGAAAAACTAGACCACCAACTTACACCTCATACAAGAGTAAACTCAACATGGATAAGACTTTTAAGTTGTGAAACCATAAAAATCCTAGAAGGAAACTCAAGTCTTAAGTAGTATTTTTGCTAATTCATCTCCTAGGGCAAGGGAAACAAGAAAAATAAACAAATGAGATTACATCGAACTAAAAAGCTTCTGCCCAGCAGAAGAAACCATTCACCAAATGAAAAGGGAACCCACTGTATGGGAGAACATATTCACCAGTGGTACATCTGATAAGGGCTTAATTTCCAAAAAACACAAAGAACTCCTTCAAGTCAACACACCAGGACAAACAGTCCAATTTTTAAAAATGGTCCAAGGACATCAATAGATACTTCACTAAAGAGGGCATATAGATGGCCAATAGACATGAAAAAATGCTTAATGTCATGGATCATCAGAAAAATTAAAATTATTATACAATGATGTAGCACTTTGCACCTGCCAGAGTACCTCCAATAAATCAATAAACCAGCGCTCACGAGGATGTGGAGGTAAGGGGGACACCAGTTCACTGCTGGTGGGAATGCAGATGGGTGCAGCCACCATGGAAAACGGTGTGGAGTTTCCTCAAAAAATTAAAAACGGAACTGCCATTTGACCCAGCAATCCCACTCCTGGGAATGTGTTCTACGAAACCAGAAACACCAGTCAGGAAGGATTATATGCACCCCTATGTTCACAGCAGCCTATTTACAACCAGAGGCCTGGTGTGTGGATACAGGCACGGGTGAGGGCCCTCAGCGTGGCTGTGGGGATCTGGCTGAAACCAGCAGTCCAATGCCACCTGCTGCTCTTGCCTGCCCTCCTGCTCGCCCCTGCCCGGCCCTAACCCCCTGTGCCTGTCACGGACTTGCGCCCAGTCCAGATTGGGAGAGGCTTGATGCCACAGCGACGCTCACAAGTCGGGAGCCCCGCGTCTGGTGCCCATCCTAAGGGGGAGTGGGTCAGTCCACCCGGCAGGCCCCGGGATCCAGATCTTGATTCGTCCCGCTGATGTTTGTGCTGGTTCTCGGGAGCCACCTGGAGGCCACTTTTATATCGCTTCTTCCTTGTGGAGCATCTAGGGAATGGAAGCAGGCCAGTGCCTGAGCCAATATCCCGGAGGCGGGTGGCACTGTTGGGAAAGTGCTGGTGGCACCGGTCAGCTGGTCCCTGGCCCGTTCTCCGGAGATTGGACCTGCAGCACTGCAGAGGGAGTGAGGCACTGCCGCCAGGCTGGCAGGCCAGCACGGGCCGGTCAGCTGAGCGACATTCCCCCTGTGGGAGTGCACTGACCACCAGGGGCAGCTCCTGCGTTGAGCGTCTGCCCCCTGGTGGTCAGTGCATGACAGCAACCAGTTGACTGGTCATTCAGTGGCTTAGGCTTTTATATATATATAGATAGCTAAGATCTGGAAACAGCCCCAAGTGCCCATCAATAGATGAGAGGATAAAAAAGCTGTGGCAATGGAATGCTATGCAGGTATAGAAAAAAAAAAAAGAAGAAGAAGAAAAAGAAGGTACTCTTCCCCTTTGCAACAGCCTGGATGGAACGAGATTATCATGCTGCATGAAATAAGCCAGTCAGAGCAAGACAAGTATCACACGGTCTCACTTATATGTGGAATCTAACGAACAACATAAATTGATGAACAACATTGGTGCAGAGGCCTGGATGCATGGAGCAGACTGAAGATCTCAGAGAGGAGGCGGGAGGGGGAACCAAAGAACTTATATACAGACATGCCTGGCCCAAGGGCACAGACAGAGGGAGGGAAGGCCTGGGGCAGGGCAGGGCAGGGCAGAGGAGGCACAGGTGGGAAGATGGGGGGCATCTGTAATACTCCCCACAATAAAAGCAACTTCTTACACCTGCTCCCGAAGTGCACGTGAGGCCCCTCCCCCATCCCCTCTCCCTCCCAGGAGAGCCACACGAGACACCACCGGCTTTGCTGCTGCATTTATTGTTTCATCGCATATTTACATTCCAACTGGAGACCCGTCCGTCCGCGCCCAGGCCCTCCGGCTCCCTCCGGCTCCAGCCCCGTGGGCACCGGGCTCGGTCACACGCCCAGCAGGAGGGGCTGGTGCTCCTCGCTGGCCGTGCCGGGCGGCAGCTCGTAGACCACGCATAGGGAGGAGTAGAGGCAGCCCAGGAAGGACACGAGGCTGGAGAAGTACATCACCCCGCGGGCGCTGCCCACCGCCGCCGTCAGCGGCCCCAGCACCAGCGACACCAGGATCTGGGCCAGGAAGTACTGGCAGCTGAGCAGCGAGATGTCCACGCCCATTCCCCGCCGTGTGCCGTCCGCGCTGGACCCTGCGAACTGTCGGGAGGGCGCTCAGTGCGGGCCGGACCCATCCCCGCGGCCCGGGCCCCTGTCCCCACGGCCCGAGCCCCTGTCCCCCATCCCCGTTCCCGCGGCCGAGCCCCCGTCCCCGTCCCCACGGCCCAGACCCCGTCCCCGTCCCCGTGACCCGAGCCCCCGTCCCCGTCCCCGTCCCCACGGCCGAGCCCCCGTCCCCGTCCCCGTCCCCGCGGCTGAGCCCACGTCCCCAGTCCCCACGGCCCGAGCCCCCGTCCCCATCCCCACGGCCCGAGCCCCCGTCCCCCGTCCCCGTCCCCACGGCCCGAGCCCCGCGCCCACAGGGTCCTCACATTCTCCAGCCCCAACGCGCACGGGCGTTCAGCCAGGACTTTAATAATATTTGTGCTCAGAGCTGGGGCGGCGACAAGAATCCGTGACTAACGGGGTGGGGGGCCTCTCCGCACAGGGGGGCGCTCTCCCCGGCTCCGGTCCTCCCTCCCTCACCGAGAGGAGGCCGCCCGCCCGCCCGCCCGCCGCACCCCCTGTCCCCCAGCAGCCGGTCACACACCTCCCTCCCACCCGCCGCGCACACGGGCACGTGGTGGGCACGTGACGGGCACGTGGTGGGCACGGTGGAGGACCGTGTCTGTGCGCAGGGCTGCAGGGTGACGTGGCAGGAGGCAGTGTGGGTCCCCGCACAAGCCACCCCCACCCACAGCCACCGATGCAGCAGGCGGATGCCGCCCCCCACGCCCTGGGTGCCCATCAGCCTGGGTGCCGGTTCGGCCTGGCCCTCTCTCCGGACAGAGGTGGCCACCTCGGGGTGGGGTGGGGGGGTGCCATGCCCTCCCGGGGAAGGCGGCGGCCTCGTGGGCACAGCAGGGGCTCGGGGAACCACATACAGCTTCAGGGCGCGGGGAGGCCGCGGGGGGAAGGCGGCAGGAGAGCCCCAGCCCCCAGCCCGGGAGACAGTGCGGGGAGGCCCTGGGGCGCCTGGGGCCGGGTGCCCTCCTGGGGGCAGGCAGCCCCTCGCCAAGCCCAGCGCAGGCTCGGCTGCAGGGAAGGCACCGGGCGGAGAGGGGACAGCACCGGAGCGGGGTCCCGTGGGTGCGCTGGCACGGGCCCTGCAGTGCGGCGGGCACGGGTGCCCACAGCCTCCGGCCTGGGTCAGGACAGCGGCCCACGCAGCCCGAGGGGCCTGGCACCGCCGTCCCCCGAGGTTTGGCCGCTGGACTGGGCCTGCGGACGGGCCGTGCTCAGGCCGCCCCGGGGATTCAGCTGAAACCAGGCCCCGGCCTGCACCGGGGCGGGCGGTGCCAGGCCCCAAACTACGGGGCGCGAAGCTCCGTCCCCGCGGTGACCGCCAAGCACGGCTTCCAGACCCGGCTCTGCCCGCCTGTGCGGGCGCTGCCGGTGACCGCAGCCTCAGCCTGAGGGGGCTCCCCTCCCCGGCCGGGGCCGGCGGGCGGGAGCAGGTGCCGGTCCGGGGGCGGGCTGGGCAGTGGGTCGGGGTTCCTCTGGACCAGGGTGCTGGTCGCAGGATTGGTGAAGGGGGGGGGGGTTATTGTCAGGATGTTCTCCACACGAACAGCTGGGAGCCGTTTGCCGGACGCGAAGCCGGTGTCTGCAGGCGGAGCCTTCGCAGTGACGGGGGTCCAGGGACACCCAGCCCCCCCACAGAGGGGGGGGGGGTGTGCACGCGCGTGTGTGTGTGTGTGTGTGTGTGTGTGTGTGTGTGTGTCTCCCTCCCCACGGAGGCAGCATGTGTGAGTGTGTGTGTCTGTGTGCATGTGTGTCTCCCCACACACGGAGGCAGCGTGTTGTGTGTGTCCGTGTGCGTGTGTGTGCGTGTGCGTGTGTCCCCAGCCGGCACGGGGCCTGTCTTTGGCCATTAAAGTCCCGGTGTTTTGTCCAGTGTGGGCTTGGGACACTGATGCTTGTTTTCAGAAGCACTGCGTGGGCACAGCATTGACCTTGAGGCTTCTGTGCCCAAGGGGGTGCCTCACCCCCACCTGGCCCTGTGCTCACAGGTGACCCTGAAGCCTGGCGGGGACTCGGCGTGGGCCTCCCCTTCCAGCCTCCCGGCTCCCACCTGCCACCCCTGTGGTCCCCGCCTGAGTCTGACGGGACCCGGTGCTCCCTGTGCACCAGCCCTCCGGGGCCTGGGGCCATTCCCGGGGGCGGGGGGCTCTCCGAGCTGCGGGGGAGGCAGGGGGGCAGGGGGGCAGGGGTGCAGGGGGGTCTCCGAGCTGCTGGGGGGGCAGGGGGCAGGGGGCTCTCCGAGCCGCTGGGGTGCAGGGGGGCTCTCCGAGCTGCTGGGGGGGGTGCAGGGGCCAGGGGTGCAGGGGGGGTCTCTGAGCCGCTGGGGGGCATGGGGGCCATTCCCGAAGATGGGGGCCCTCGGAGCCGCTGGTGGGGGGTGCAGGGGCAGGGGGCCCTCGGAGCTGCAGGGGGGTGCAAGGGGCGGGGGCCCTCGGAGCCGCTGGCGGGGGGTGCAGGGGCAGGGGGCCCTCGGAGCTGCTGGCGGGGGGTGCAGGGGCAGGGGGCCCTCGGAGCCGCTGGGGGGGGTGCAGGGGCGGGGGGCCCTCGGAGCCGCTGGGGGGTGCAGGGGGCGGGGGGCCCTCGGAGCCGCTGGCGGGGGGTGCAGGGGCAGGGGGCCCTCGGAGCTGCAGGGGGTGCAGGGGGGGCCCTCGGAGCCGCTGGTGGGGGGTGCAGGGGGCGGGGGCCCTCGGAGCCGCTGGTGGGGGGTGCAGGGGCGGGGGGCCCTCGGAGCTGCAGGGGGGTGCAGGGGGTGGGGGCCCTCGGAGCCGCTGGGGGGGGTGCAGGGGCGGGGGGCCCTCGGAGCCGCTGGTGGGGGTGCAGGGGCGGGGGCCCTTGGAGCCGCGGGGGGTGCAGGGGGCGGGGGCCCTCGGAGCCGCGGGGGGTGCAGGGGGGCCCTCGGAGCCGCGGGGCGGGGGGCAGGGGCGGGGGGCCCTCGGAGCCGCTGGGGGGGGTGCAGGGGCGGGGGCCCTCGGAGCTGCAGGGGGGTTCAGGGGGCGGGGGCTCTCTGAGCCGCTGGGGGGTGCAGGGGGCGGGGGCCCTCGGAGCCGCGGGGGGTGCAGGGGGGCCCTCGGAGCCGCGGGGCGGGGGCAGGCGGGGGGCCGGAGGCGAAGCGGCCTACCTCCCGGCTGTGGTAGTAGTCGCACAGCAGCGAGTAGGGCAGCGTGCACAGCGTGGAGAAGAGGACGCCGTAGGTGGCGCACAGGGACAGGACCACGTACAGGTTGCGGGACAGCGTGGCCAGCCCGGTGCCCAGCCCGAAGGCCAGGTAGGCCCCGAAGTAGAGCGTGCGGACGCTCAGGCGCTCCTCCAGCTTCTCCAGGATCGCTGCGGGGACAGGAGGGTCTGTCCGGCCTCCCTCGCCGGCCGGGTGCCCGAGCTGCCCCGACAGGCCGTTGAGTGAAAGGAGACGGCGCTGGGACCGCCCTCCCGTCCTCGTAAAGACACACCAGCCTTCAATCCGTGTCCTCAACGCCCGGCCCAAGGCCATCGACCCAAGGCCATGGACCCAAGGCCATGGATCCAACGCCATCGGACCCAAGGCCATCGGACCCAAGGCCATGGACCCAAGGCCATGGATCCAAGGCCATCGGACCCAAGGCCATCGGACCCAAGGCCATGGACCCAAGGCATCGACCCAAGGCCATGGACCCAAGGCCATCGGACCCAAGGCCATCGGACCCTAAGGCCATGGACCCAAGGCCATGGACCCAAGGCCATCGGACCCAAGGCCATGGACCCAAGGCCATCGGACCCAAGGCCATGGACCCAAGGCCATCGGACCCAAGGCCATCGACCCAAGGCCATCGGACCCAAGGCCATGGACCCAAGGCCATCGGACCCAAGGCCATGGACCCAAGACCATCGACCCAAGGCCATCGGACCCAAGGCCATGGACCCAAGGCCATCGGACCCAAGGCCATCGGACCCAAGGCCATGGACCCAAGGCCATCGGACCCAAGGCCATCGGACCCTAAGGCCATCGGACCCAAGGCCATGGACCCAAGACCATCGACCCAAGGCCATCGACCCAAGGCCATCGGACCCAAGGCCATGGACCCAAGACCATCGACCCAAGGCCATCGGACCCAAGGCCATGGACCCAAGGCCATGGACCCAAGGCCATGGACCAGGGCCAGCGGCCCTCCAGCGCAGGGCCCGGCGCCCGCGCACGTACCGGAGTAGACGGCGGCGCTGAAGGCGTAGATGCACATGCCCCAGCAGCCCATGGTGACGCCGCTGTTGTACCGCTGGAACGCCTCGGACGTGCGCGGGGCCTTGGGGTCCCCCTGGAACACCACCTCGCCCATGAAGTCCGTGTAGAAGAGCAGCATCCCCTCGAACGAGAGCCAGCCTGGGGGGGGCGGGGCTGTGACCATGACCACGGCGCAGACACGGCCGGGCCGTCGCCAGCAGCCGGCTTCCCGGCGGTCAGGGTGACGCCGATTCAAGACCTAAAGAGGCACCACCTGCCTCGCGCCGAGGCCTTGTCCCCGAGAGCCAAGGGGGCACGGGGTCCTGGAAGGCAGCCTGTGCGGGCAGGGCACGGGCGGGGCGCTCACCCAGGAAGTGGTTGACTCCCAGGTCGGGGGGCGGGGGGGGAGAAGGGGGGAGCAGGGGGGGCTCACCCAGGAAGTGGTTGACTCCGGGGGGACGGGGACGAGGGGGGGGCTCACCCAGGAAGTGGTTGACTCCGGGGGGGACGGGGACAAGGGGGGGGCTCACCCAGGAAGTGGTTGACTCCGGGGGGACGGGGACGAGGGGGGGGCTCACCCAGGAAGTGGTTGACTCCGGGGGGGCGGGGACGAGGGGGGGGGCTCACCCAGGAAGTGGTTGACTCCGGGGGGGGGGGGGACGGGTACGAGGGGGGGGGCTCACCCAGGAAGTGGTTGACGCCCAGGCGGGGGGGGGAGAAGGGGGGGGGGCTCACCCAGGAAGTGGTTGACGCCCAGGCGGGGGGGGGGGGGAGAAGGGGGGGGCTCACCCAGGAAGTGGTTGACGCACAGGTGGGGGCAGGGGTGGGGGCGGGGGGCTCACCCAGGAAGTGGTTGACGCCCAGGCGGGGGGGGGGGGGGGAGAAGGGGGGAGCACTCACCCAGGAAGTGGTTGACGCACAGGCTGCGCAGCGCGCGGGGCGTGCGGCGGATGGTGGCGCAGAGGTGCCGCAGGGACAGGGCCGGCCCCGGCTCGCTGGGCCCCGGCAGCTGGCTCTCGTACTTGACGCCGTTCAGCAGGATGTTGGCCACCTGCCAGGGGGCCCGCCGGCATCAGGTGACGCCGGCCAATGGGGGCGGAGGGGCGGGTGGCCTCTGCTGGACGCGGAGCCGCAGGGCCCCTCCCCGGGAGCTCCTCAGCGCCCCCCGAGGGCGCACAGCCGGGGTCCCGCCCCCTGGAGGCCCGGCTGGAGGGTGTGGACGGGCCCACCGGCCTCTGCCCACCGCCCACCGCCCTGTGCCCTGTGCCCACCGCCCTCTGCCCGCCGCCCGCCGCCCACCGCCTTCCGCCCTCCGCCCGCCGCCCGCTGCCCGCCGCCCTCCGCCCTCTGCCCACCGCCCTCCGCCCTCTGCCCACCGCCCTCCGCCCTCTGCCCACTGCCTTCCACCCTCTGCCCACCGCCCTCCGCCCTCTGCCCACCGCCTTCCGCCCTCTGCCCACCACCCTCTGCCGGGGGGTGGAACAGGCCCTCGGGCCCTGAGGAAGGAAGTCACGGAGGCGCTGGTTCAAGGTCAGCCCCGCCCGGAGGATGGGCAGGGGCACCTCCTGTTCCACCTGAGCCGAGCGGCGTGTTCGCTCAGTTTTCCTCCCTTCAGAGCACTGAGCCACAGCCCCGCCGGAGAACGGCGTTTCAAAAGGAGCTGCCAGCCACACAGGTTCAGGTTCTCCACTAACCACCGTGTCCGGAGCCGGGTGGAGTGTTGGGACCGGACGGGGACGGGGCCCAGCGTGGAGCAGCCTGAGTGGCCGCGGGGACGGGGACGGGGCCCAGCGTGGAGCGGCCTGGGTGGCCGCGGGGACGGGGACGGGGACGGGGACGGGGGCCCAGCGTGGAGCGGCCTGAGTGGCCGCGGGGACGGGGACGGGGGCCCAGCGTGGAGCGGCCTGAGTGGCCGCGGGGACGGGGACGGGGACGGGGGCCCAGCGTGGAGCGGCCTGAGTGATGCCCGGCCCCGAAGGAGGTGTCTCTGCCCTGACAGCCCGCCGGGCCCGCAGCCACTCGGTTCTCCCGCCCGGGCGCGGGCAGCCGGGCAGTGGCCCCGGGGTGAGGTGAGGTGGCCGGGGAGGTGGTGAGAGCGGCCGGACCCCGGGTTCGGAGACGGAGCCGCAGCCCGGGCCGCCGGGCGGGGGTGGGGGTCCATGCCCGAAGGGCTGCTGTCAGGGCACCTGCCGAGTTTCTGCCTCGTCCCCAGGAGAGGCGTGCAGGAGGCGGCCGATCGGTCTCTCTCTCCCTCCCTCTCCCTTTCTCTCTCTCAAAATCAGTCACCAGTTAGGGGGAAAGTCACCGGCACATTCCCCAGTTCACCTCCTGTGAAACGGGGTCTTCCGGGCCCAGGGGGCCTGCCTGAGCGCCCGCCCCCCACCCCCGCATTGGGGTCCCCCGGGGCGGGGCCCGGCTCCAGGGGCCTCTTCGCGCTCGGACCCCGAAAGCTGCTCGGATCCCACAAACCCGTGCCGCTGCTCAGCCAGCCCTCCCACACCACACGCTGCACAGAGCCTTCCGGAAGCTCCTCCACCTGCACAGCCTGCCGCCCACTCCCTTCCGCACCCAGAGGTTTGGATGGGGGCGGAGGCCAGACACGGGCAGGAGGAGGGACGGCGCTCCCCGCCCGGCCAGGAGTTTCCTCCGGACCCTCAGCCCCCCTCGCCGTCGCCCGCCCCGCCCTCACCTGCTGGCTGAAGGTCACGGTCCTCCTCCTGCCGGGCTCGGGCCCGGCCCCGGCCGCCTCCGGGAGGGCCAGGCTCTGGGGCCTCTTCAGGATGCCGGCCGCCCGCGGCTTGGGGGCGTCCAGGGAGCCCACCCTCAGGTCACCGCCGGGGGCCAGGCCCGCCCCCCGCGCCCCGGGGTCCGCCCGGGGGAAGCTGAGGCTCAGGGCGGGCGGCGGGGCGTCCGGGGCGTCCGGGGCGCCCGTGAAGCAGTCGATGAGGACGCTGTCGATGTGGGAGGCGGCGAAGGACGAGGCGAAGGCGCTGAGCGCGGCCGGGGAGCCGTCCCCGCTGAGGAGGCTGCCGTACCCGGGCGTGAGCGGGCTGGGCGGCGAGAGGGGGCTGCAGGGGCCCGAGGGGGCGGCCTCCGGGCCCGGGGCGGGCGGCGAGGGCGGCAGCGGCAGGCTGGGGCTCTTCATGGCCGGCCTGGGCCCGGCCCGGGGCCGCAGCGGCCGCTCGGGGATGCTGAGCAGCGTGAGGGCGGTGCTGGCGCCCAGGACCACGGCCGTGAAGAGGAAGAGGACGCGCAGCTGCCCGCCCAGCGCGCGCCCGAAGCCGGTGCGGTCCCAGTGGACGCCGCCCACCACGTAGCCGAAGCCGCCGCCGAGGCCTGGGGGGAGCCCGGCCTCACTCCGGGGCCACATCCTCCAGGCCCGCGTGTCCTCCCCGGGGCCCCCCCAAAGGGAGCGGGAGAATGGGGGCCCGGGGACCCGGCAGAACACAGCCACATCGGCCGCACGGACGGCGGCGGGCGCACGGGGACCTGAGGGCGGCCCGGCCACCGCGCCCGCACTGACCTGCCAGCAGCGCGTGGATGTTGAGGCCGCGGTCCTGGTCAGCCGGCCCGCACACGTCCATCAGGTACGCGTGGCTGGGGCTGTCGGCGGAGTCGGCGCTGAAGTCCATGAGCACCGCGCCGCCCACGGTGAGCAGCAGGCCCCAGCGGTGCTGGCCCGGCCCGTCCGCCAGCGCCGCGCCCAGGTCCCGGCCGTTCAGCAGCAGCGAGAGGCCCAGCAGCGCCCCTGAGGCGGGAGGGGGATCACCGGGGGCGGACCCAGCCCCGCGGGGGACACCGGGCCCCGGGGCCGAGCACCTTCCCGACCCGGCTCCGGGCGGAGCCCCGGACACCCGGTCCGCCTGGTTTTACTGGGATGGGGGTCTCGGTGGCCAAGGAGAGCAGACTGGCTCAAACGGAATGCAGGAAAATAAATACAGAGCAGGCTGTTCCCAGGCCAGGGCCCGGGTCCGGCGGCCGCCAGGCCGGGGGGTGGATCTGGCTGGGCGCCTGGCCAGCACCGGGTTTGCTAAGAGGAATTGGGGGCTCTTTGCTTTGCTTTTTATTTTAGTTTCAATTCCCAAACAACAGACCTATGGCCAGGACAAGAATGAAAGGGCGTCTCCGTCCAAACCTTGAGGTACATCGGTCACTCCAGGCACCCAAGAGTGGCTGCAGTAGGAATCCTGGAACAGAGCGAGCGGGGGTCACTGCGGGGTCACTGCGGGGTCCCCGAGGCACAGGGCCCCGCGGACACGGCTCTGCGTGTTCCCTGCCGCCCGTGTCTCAGACGTGGGGAGTCAGCGACAAGTCCCTGCGCCTGAGAACGGAGGACTCACAGCCCCGGGACCCTCCGCTCCCTCCTTCCTCCTCGGCCCTCGTGAGCCACGAGGCAGCTGTGACCTTGGGAGTTCACGCAATGCCAGCTCCTCCCAGACCCAACCCCTTGGGCTGATGGCTTATGGTTTGGGTTCCCCCGTTAGGCAGCACCGGATGGCGCGGGTCCGGGGGGCAGCCAAACCTGTTCTAGAAGCCGGTTTATTTATTTTGTTTTTTTTTTTTTGAAATTATATATATATTTGCCATTGCCAGTTTGCTCAGTGGACAGAACATCAGCTCACGGAGTGAAGGGTCAGGGCACATTCCCGGGTTGCGGACTCCACCCCCATTGGGGCGTGCAGGAGGCAGCCCATCAATGGTTTTCTCTCTCATCATTGATGTTTCTCTCTCTGTCTCTCACTCGCTTCCTCTCCGAAATCAATAAAAAATATTTTTTTTAAAAATAAATTATATATTTTATTTCAGAGAGGAAGGGAGAGAGAGAGAGAAACATCAATGATGAGAGAGAGAACCATTGACCGGCTGCCTCCTGCACGCCCCGCCGAGGATCAAGCCCACCACCCGGGCCTGTGCCCTGACCGGGAATCAAACCGGGGCCTCTTGGTTCCTAGGTTGTCACTCAACCGCTGAGCCCCGCCCGCTGGTTAGAAGCTGGTTGAGACCAAGTTTCCTAAAACACGGGGATGGCGGCCATGCCTGTGTGTCCTACGGCCCCGGACTGACGAGTGGACTTGGCTCTGCCCCCCACCCCCCGGGGCCCGCGAGCTGCAGGCACTGGGGCTGGGGGGGCGCCCCGCCCCGGCTGCGCTCACCGAGGATGGGGCTGATGAACCACACGAGGCTGTACAGCTGGCCGGGGAGGCCCATCTGCAGCAGCACAGGCGTCACGTAGGCCGTCTCCACGGCGTAGCTGAACTCGATGCCAAAGAGGATGCAGCCGTTGCAGAGCAGCTCCCGGAAGGACCGCTGGGGGGGCGGGTCCCCGAAGCCCACCAGCTCGGCGGGGCAGGGGGTGTTGGGGGGCGGCGGCGGGGAGGGCCGGACGCTCCGCCCCCGCGGGTGCCGCTTGAAGCTGTTGGCGCGGTGGCTGATGTGCGGGGGGGCGGCCGGGGGCCGCCAGGCGTCCTGGGGGGCCGCGGGGGGGCCCAGGGCCTCCCCCGGAGGGGGGCTGCCGGCCGGGGCGGTCATCGTGAGGGCGGCCGCTGGCAGCTCCTGGGGAGAGCCCATCGGGCCGGCAGTCACTTCCAGGGTCCGCGTTCCGGGGGGCCCCCTCCGCCACCCCGACTGGCACCCCCTGGCCCTTTAACCCGGTGGAAGCTGGGTTCCAACGGGGAACCCTGAGTCCATCGTCCACAGACCCACCCTCTCTGCCTCTGACCCACACCCCTGCCCACCCCTTCCAGACAGGCAGACAAATGTACACTCACCATCCCTCCTCCCTCCCATCAGCCAGCCACCCACCCCCCTGCCCCCCCTCCCCCCCTCACCCTCCTGCCCCCTCACTCACCCTCCCACCCCCTCACTCACCCTCTCATCCTCTCACTCACCCTCTCATCTCCTCACTCACCCTCCCGCCCCCTCACTCACCCTCCCGCCCCCTCATTCACTCTCTCCCTCCTCACTCACCCTCCCGCCCCCTCACTCACCCACCCACCCCCTCACTCACCCACCCGCCCCCTCACTCACCCTCCCACCCCCTCACTCACCCTCTCATCCTCTCACTCACCCTCTCATCTCCTCACTCACCCTCCCGCCCCCTCACTCACCCTCCCGCCCCCTCATTCACTCTCTCCCTCCTCACTCACCCTCCCGCCCCCTCACTCACCCACCCGCCCCCTCACTCACCCACCCGCCCCCTCACTCACCCTCCCGCCCCCTCACTCACCCAGGCAACCTTTCACCCCCTTCCATCCTCATATGCCCTGCCCATCCTCCAGTCCAGCGGTCCCCAATCGGTGGTCCATGGACCACTGGTGGCCCATGAGGTCTGAGAGGTTGGTGACCGCTGCTCTAATCTGCTCATCTCCCCTTCTCAACATCCACCCATCCGTCCGTCCGTCTGTCTGTCCATTCATTCATCTACCCATTCGTCCTCTGGCCACCTTCCCATCCACCTCCCCACCCATGCTCCCTCCACCGAGTGAGGAGCACGCAGACACTGGCTGCGCAGAGATAGGAGACACCGTCCTGCCTACGAGCTACGGGAGCCGGAGGAAAGGCCTGCACAGGAGCCACCGGGGAAAGCATTGGGCCATGGCGTGCGGGGAGAGCGGAGGCCACGGCCGGTGAGCTGGTCACCGAGGCCTGAAGACCAGCTCAGGATGGGGTCGTCCCCAGAGGACAGGGCTGGGCTCGCCGCTCTCACCTCTGTAAGGGGCTTATCTGTGACCTCAGACAGTCCCAGCTCTTCTCTACTAGACAGAGTCCCTGAGGACTATGTGCACCCCGTCCTCCATGGCGAACGTAATTCATATGTGACGACCACATCAGGTTTTAGGATTTGTTAAAGCTCAGCTGGTTGTTTAAGTTCCCCTGGTAGGTACTTGGCATATTAGGCTTCAATTATATAGAATGTACAAAGGCTCTTGTACATTCTATATAATTGAAGCCTAATATGCCAAGTATCTGGCCCACCAGTCAGCCATTCAACCAATCAAAACTTAATATGCTAGTGATATGCTAAGGCCGCTCAACCACTCGCTATGACATGCACTGACCACCAGGGGGCAGATGCTCTAACTGGTAGGTTAGCTTGCTGCTGGGGTCCGGCTGATGGAGACTGAGAGAGACAGGCCGGACACACCCTGGAGCCCTCCCACGGTCCCTCCCCAGCTGGCCAACCTCCTGCGTCCCTCCCCAGCCCCATAGTGCAGTGGTGGGTCCCTCACCTGGCCTGCACCTTCTCACAATCCGGGACCCTCAGGGGAGCTGTTTTGGCCTGACCCCGCAGGCCAGGCCGAGGGGCCCCGCTGGTGCATGGATTTGTCCCTGGGCCTCTAGTGATTAATAAATTTACAGTGTCCGGGCACATGAGTGCTCAGAGCGGCCCTCCCACGAGCCGAACGCCTTTCCTCCTGTCTAATCTTCACAGGGAATCCGTCCTCCCGCCACGAGGTCACCCTGGGCCACGTCCCTCCCACCCTCTTCCTCCCACCAGCCCTCTGGGTGAATCCTGCCTGGGCTTGAGGGCGGAGAGTTCACAGTCTGATCACTGGGCTGTGGCCCCTGCGTGTGGGCAGCTGACCCAGGAGCCCGGGTCCCATCGGCACCGCCTCCTTCCCTGCCAGGCCTGGCGCCCGGCGCCCGGAGCAGAGAAGTCACTTTGTGTCCAGGACCCAGCGGCTGGGAGCTCCCTGCCTCTGCCTGGGCTTGTCCCTCTGCAGGGCAGGGCCTGGGCTGAGAGGTGGACCCAGGCCCGGCGGGGCTCAGCTGGGGGGCGGGGGAGTGCACCTGCCGCCACCTGCCCAGGTGACTCAGGGCCAGGCCTCCGCCGCCGCCTTCCCGCGGGGAGCCGCTCCCCCCAGGGCCAGGGCGCCCAGCGGGGTCCCATTCACAGCTCCCGGGTGAGACCCGCCCACAAAGGCTGCCGAGACCCCGACCCGCAGGCGCTGGATCGCCTGGGCCTGAGCCGCCGGCCGCCGGAAGCCGCGCGGGGGGAGGCGCGGGGGGAGGTGGTACCTGCGGGTCCAGCCGGGAGGCATCCCTCCTGGAGGCCGGGCTCCGGCCTGCCCGCCGGCCGCTCAGCCCCGGTCCTGGTCCCGGTTCCGGTCCCGGCCCGCAGCCCCAGGCCCGCCGGCCGCCACTGCAGCATCACCGGGGGCGGGGCCTGACGTCACGCTGCATCCTCCGCGGCCGGTCCCAGAGCATCCTCACCCTTCATCCTCACCCTTCATCCTTAAAGCGGCACCGCCCGGTCCCAGAGCATCCTCATCCTTCATCCTCACCCTTCATCCTTAAAGCGGCACCGCAGGCCTGGGCCCCGAGCGGTGTGTGTGTGTGTGTGTGTGTGTGTGTGTGTGTGTGCGCGCGCGCACGCGTGCCGGGCAGGCCCCCGCCCCGCAAGCCCCCCAAAGGCCCGGACGCAGGCGGCTGTGACCCCCAGGGGGAGCCGAGGCGCTCCCACCAGGGCCAGCCCTTCTCTGCGAAAACAGTGACATGTGCTCTGTGCCGGGCTGGTTCACAGATGGCCATCGGTTCTGTTAGAACATTTCCGTGGCCTAAGAGGTCTGGCTGTTTCCGTCTGATTTTACGCAGAATGAACAGTTTCGGGGGGGGGGGGCCCTCCAGCGCTGTGTGCCCGGCACCGCCTGTGGGGAGGAACGAGGTGCCCCACCCGGAACGTTACTCCGCGTCACCCACTCACCTCCGGGCGCCAGGGCCTCCGGGCGAGTCTGTCCGAGGGGCTGGGCTGTGGGTGACAGAAAGCAAAGTTCCTGCCCCTGGGCCTGGCACCCCGGGGAGGAAGAGGCGCGTTACAAAGCCAGTGTGGCTCAGTGGTTGGGGCCTCCTGACCCAGGGCCCACACCTGGCTGCAGGTTCATCTCTGTCTGGGTCTGGGTGCCTGCGGGAAGCAACCAGTTGATGTCTCTCTCACATCGATGTCTCTCTCTCTCTCTCTCTCTCTCTCTCTCTCTCTCTCTCTCTCGTCAGTTTCTCTCCCCCCGCCCCCCACCCTCCTCTCCACTCTCTCTTTAAGAAAAAATAAATAAATGGGAAAAATATCCTTGGATGAGGGTAATAATAATAATAATAATAAATAAAAAGACAGGTCCCATCAGCACGTGATATGCCCCGAGAAGGGGCTCAGCGGGGGCTGGAGGCGGTGTGGGCACTTCCTGTAGAACAGGCTGTGGGTGAGTCCCATCTGAAGGTGCGTTTGAAGGACGTGGAGGAGGGAAGGGGCCGGCCATGCCAGGCAGGGGGATGAGCAGGTGCAAAGGCCCTGGGGTAGAGGTGAGGTGAGGGGGGCTGAGGGGAGGGCGCCCTGCAGTGAATGGCACCCCAGAACGTGCCCGAGGTGGGCAGTGAGCCCTGTCGGGAGGGTCTGAGATCCTTGAGGACCAGGGATTGGGAGAAGGTCCAGGCCGAGTGGGCAGGTTGGCCTGGGGTGGGGGTGCAAGAGCGCCAGCAGCAGGCGGGGCCTGGTGGGCACTCAGAAGAAGGGAGATGGGGCACGGGGGCCAGGTCAGTGTGTGTGTGTGTGCGGGGGGGGGGGGGGGGGGGGAGCCTGGGGCAGACTGGCCCGGCTTACAGGCCTCGGAGCTGCTGTCATTTTGTAAGAACACGATGAAATGGACTCTGCGAGAGAGCAGGTGACTTTAGTTAAGCCCGTATTTTGCAGAGATCGTGGAGCTGAGGTGGGGATGGACTTGAGCAGCAGGGGGACCAAGTGGTCACAGCAGGAGCTTGGGGGGTGGCCCAGGTGGGAGAGGATGGGGTGCGGGGTCTCATTGCCCACTCAGGGCTGAAAAAGACAGTGGCCCTTCAGGGGGATGAGCTGAGGGGCCACCCTCCCCCTGTGGGAGGACAGACAGGCGGGGAGGCGGAGGGGAGACCAGCAAAGAGCCCCAGAGGGGCCACAGGGCCGGGCGGGGCCCATGGACTCAGGCCCCCTGGAACCCAGGGCCCCCGGACTCAGGCCCCCCAGACCCAGGGCCCTGGACCAGGCCCCCCAGACTGAGGCCCCGGACTGAGGGCTCCGGACTGAGGGCCCCGGACCAGGCCCCCTGGACCGAGGGCCCCGGATCCAGGCCTCCCGGACTGAGGGCCCCGGACCCAGGGCTTCCGGACTGAGGGCCCCGGACTGAGGGCCCGGACTGAGGGCCCCGGACTCAGGCCCCGGACTGAGGCCCTGGACTGAGGGCCCCGGACTGAGGGCCCCGGACCCAGGGCCCCCGGACCCAGGGCCCCGGACTGAAGGCCCCGGACTGAGGGCCCCGGACTGAGGCCCCGGACTGAGGGCCTGGACCGAGGGCCCCGGACTCAGGCCCCGGACTGAGGGCCCCGGACCGAGGGCCCCGGACTGAAGGCCCCGGACTGAGGCCCCCGGACCCAGGGCCCCGGACTGAGGGCCCCGGACTCAGGTCCCGGACCCAGGGCCCCGGACTCAGGGCCCCCGGACCCAGGGCCCCGGACTGAGGGCCCCGGACCGAGGGCCCAGACTGAGGGCCCCGGACTGAGGGCCCCCG